ACAACGTGGCAATTCCACATCTTGCGGCCAGCCTTGTAGTCTTTCGTGCTGCTGGCATGCTCTGCCACGGCCAGAGGTCGTGAGCAGCTTCTGATGCACCGTACCGAGGATCTCTGTATCCGCCATCTCGAGATTAAAGTTTGAGAGGTTATTGATGATTTCGGCTGATTACCCAGGGTCCGCTAATTTACTGTGTTAGGAACGTTGGGCTTGTAATCACACAGCGGTATATGTGTTTTTTTCCCTATGTTTTCCAAGTCGTGCTGGTCAACGCGAATGTTGCGAGGGCAACGTGTGGGTTTCTTATCCTGATGTTCACCGTCGCTTGCCTTTAACAGGTTGTAGACTACCATATTCTGCCTATAAGGCACATTGCCGGTGCAGTAGCCTAAAATCATGTTGGAAATTTGCTCATGTACTTTTTTTTGCCCTAACAAAAAGATCCACGCGCAAACGCTGAAGCACCTCAAGGCCCTGGCGGGCTCCCCCAGGCATATCACTCGTGAGTCAGATTCTGATCTGCTGTCTCGGCTTGGTGTTCCCAAAGACGTCCTGAAAAGGAGCCTTCAGCGCAGGTGGGAGCAGCTGTCACAGGCAGGTTGGCGGTCTGCTGCAGGCGCTGGAGCCGAATCAGAGCCAAGCTGGCGGGGCGTCAGCCCGAATCCTGAACCAACTCCTGCCCCTGCTGTGAAGCCGTGAAGCCCGTAGCCTATGCGTGTCAGGTGTGTGGACAGGTGTTCCATGACATCCATCAGCTGAAGTCTGCAAAGTTTGAGGATCCCAACTGCCGACTTTGTGGCCAGGAGTTCTCCAGGTGGTCAGCGCTGAAAAGGCACATCAATCGTAAGAGCTGCCAGGGGCTTCGGAGAGAACACATGGTCGCAGGCAGTGAAGCCGCTCCTGAACAAACACAGGCGCAGCCTGCATCCAGTGCGCCAAGTGCCGGTCATAATCAGTGCCCATACCAATACATCCCTGCAGGAGGCCTGGCGTGAGGGTCCGACTAGAGGCTGTGATTGCTTGGCCGAGCGTGAGAGCTCATCTAAACACCTGGCAGGCTCTCGTGAAACTTCCGCAGGTGAGAGAGCAGCTGAGGCAGCGCTGCGGTTTTTGCGGGCAGTGGGTCGCAAAAAATACGGGCATTAAACTGCACCTGCGCAAAGCACATGCTGCCATCTGGAATGCACATCACGCCGATATGCTTCAAGAGATCAAGGGCGTAGCTAAAGTTGCAGTGTCTCGGTGGAGGCCAACAACGAGAAGCGGCGCAAGACTGCGCCGCAAGCCAAGAAAAGGCCCTCCGAATCCCAGATCCGGAGGCAAAGAGGACGACCTTGCGCAGACCGCAAAATCTTGGCCAGGCTAGTGCTCAGACAGGGCAATCAGCTGAATCGTCTCAGCGCAGAAGTGGGCTTCTACCTCGTAGTACACACAGCGCCCCACAAAGGTACAATTGTCCCGACCCTCTTTCAGATTGCTACAGAGTGGCGCAGACTCAAGAAGGAAGAGCCCAGCAAGCTCAGTGCAACGTTCATGTGTGTTTCAGCTCAACCCTGAAGAATTGTCGAAGTTATTGCTGAAGACTGCGTTTACATTCTGTTATGAGTCGCCTGAACTCGGAGAGGGCTTGAATGCCGAAATCAGAGATGTCTGAGGGCAAGTGGCCAATCCTGGCCGATTGGTACGGTCCCTCTCACTACCGAAGGGCGCGTGAATCCCGCGACGGGTGGCAGTGACATTACGTTTTGTGTGACGGACGAGGAAAAAGTGCCGGAGCAAGTCGTGCCGCTAATTCCGTTGTTGCTTCGGGGAGTCCCGCCAACGTTAGAGCCGCGCAGATGGCAAAAAAAAGATCAGATGGCCGAAGAATCCTCGTACGGCAAAAGCAAAAATGATTGCCAAGAAAGAAAAAGACTGAGCCTAAGGTGGCTGTGAAGGCAAGTGCGCCCGCTCCGGTGCCGGGAATCGGAGGTATAGGTCCGGGTCAGTCGCAGGCAAAGGGAGAGACAAGGCCATTGCGTGGGGAAGGAGGCGTTAATTACAAGAACCTGCGCTGCCTAATGTCAAAAGGCCTGTGCCCCGCCAAAGCTGAGAGTGCTCAAGCTTTGGAGGCTTCATTTCGGCAGCGCCTCCCCAGCCAAAAGAACATTGATGACGGCTGCGCAGTTACAGCGCTGCAGCGGCAGGAGACTTTGGCGTTGGCGGCCAGAGAGACGGCGGCTACATGCGCACCTGGCCACGCCCCAGGCATGTGAGATGAAAGGCGTGGTGTTCGTGCTCATCATGGTGGGAGCCGCGTGCGCGTGGGAAAAGGGGGCGGCCATTGTCTTGCAGCACCTTGAGCTTTGCGTCTTGGTGCGTGTTCATTGAACCCCGAGCGGCCCTGCGCCGCGGCTGTGAACATGCTGAGGCATAATCTGTGCCTGGCGGCACCACGTGTGCCGGATGTTGTGTTATTTTCTCTTCTTCCTTCCTTTCATTCTTCCGGAAGCCAGTGCTTTCCCCGATTGCATGGCAGCTTGCGCAATAGCCGCCGCAGAGTTCTGCGAGTTCTGCCTTGCAGTGGTCTGAACGGCATGTATGTCGGCGAATGTTGCCAGGAAGACCTTGGTAGAACGCTGCGTAAAGACGTGGTGAGTTGAACTGGAGTCGAGCCGTTTTTGTCATCCCCACAAGGCTGTTACCCCACACCGTAAAGGCAGAAGGTCGTGCTCTGGGCTGGAAGGAGAATGAAGGGTGCTTTATCATCCTTGGTGAGGTGAGTCTATGGCAAGATATCCTATCAATCTTCAATCTCGCGGACCTCGCCTGCAACGACTGGACGGGACATGTGCCGCGGGGCTACTGGGTGCAACTCCTGCCTACTTCTTCGGGAGTGGCCGTAGCATGCAGAAGAATACGAGGAAGAACAAGAGCGAAACGTGAGTGCCGACTACTGATTTGGGTTCTGGGTTGGGGCCGGGGGTTTGCCCCCCACGCGCTCAGCCAGGGGCGCGCAAAGCTTGTAGAAGAAGACGAAGAAGAGTGAAAGGGAGAGAGGGTGAGAGAGAAAGAGAGAGCGGAAGAGACGGAAAGAGAAGCTACGAGAAGAGCGCGCAGTGATGAACCAGTATGCGGCATTCTAAAAACAAACACGACGAAAAAATCCATGGCAGAGCTTGTCACCCAAGGTCTTAAAACGCCGCTATCATGGTTCGCCCTGGTGGCCGGTCTGTTTGAGGTGGCGGAGAGGATTTGGAACTCAAACAAAGAGAGTAATGTTTCGCCTCGGGAACTCGCCATGCGAAAGAGTTGGTCTGGCTCTCGTTTTCAATCTAGGGAGGCACGGTTTTTTCAACAGTTTTGTGGCGCGGACACAGGGCACGACCAGTTTGACAAACCACGTCAAGTAGGGAGCAAGTTGGAAAAACAGCCACGGACTTGCGCGGGCTTTGGGGCATAGCCCCTGCAGGGCCCCAGGGTCTTGCATAGCCCACAGACGATGAGCAGAGAGGAGATGCGGATTGTTGTGCATTCGGGGCCTTTGAATTGCCCGTTTTTCGAGGATGAAATCGCCCTGCAGAAGCTGGAGTTGGGATCTAAGGATGGACATTGGGCCCACGGCCTCAGACACGAAGGTTTCTGCACTCTTCACCGCCAGGAATTTCGACCTAAGGTCATGCTGCAGAATATCCACCTCATGCCTTCCTGGTGCGTCGGCCGCCCAGCCCAAATGCGATCTCTTGCGCTGCACAGATAACTCTGAGAGGCCACGCTGGAGAAAAAGCTGGATGCTTTCGCCGTTGAGTGCGGGCCCAGTCGTTGAGACCCAGATCTGATTTCGACTTGTGGTGAGTGATACGCTTCAGGAACAGCAGTCCCTACTTTCGGCTGTTTTTGTCGGCGGACCCCTCGGTGAACATCCCGATCGGGCTCCTGGAGCGGTCCATCAAGCTCACCAACGAGCCACCGCAGGGCCTCCAGGCCAACCTCAGGCGCTCCTTCGCGCTCTTCAACCGAGAGGAGTTCGACGAACGAGACAGCAAGATCAAGCGAGGGTTCCCAAGGAAGCTTTTTGCCTTTCGTGGGTTGCTTTCCTCACCTCCTTACCAAGGTCCATACTCTTTGCCCTTTGCCACTTCCACTCATTGATGCTGGAGCGCAAGAAGTTCGGGGCTCTGGGCTACAACATGCCCCACACTCAGCGACTCAACTGGGCTCAGCATGCCAGACAGATTGCGACAGTAGGCGATACCCTTTCTCAAATGGGGATCTCCGTGACTCAGCCTCTGTCCTGTACAACTACCTTGAGGCCAGGTTGTGCTGTGCGCCTGTAGCTGCTGATAGCTGCCGTAGCTTTGCCTCTTCGCAGCCGCACAGGGCTCCACTGCTGTCAAGATTCCTTGGGAAGACTTGCGGTACATCTTCGGCGAGATCATGTATGGAGGTCGGGTCTTTTCGGGCTCGAAGTTGTCATGACTTGAGCTTTCAGAAGGTCACATTGTGGATGACTGGGACCGGCGGATGTGCCAGAAGTATCTTACCTACTTCATGCAGGAGGGACCGTAACTAAAATGGCAGCTGCTTACGCTGATGCACGTGCGCTTCCTCTTTCCCTCGTTCCTTCGCTTGCTTCCAGTCAGGACGAAGTCTTGGATGAGATGGAGCTAGTCCCCTACGCACGGGGCTGACTCGAAGACGCAAAAGCCAGCCTCGAACAAGAACTGGTTGAGTTCAAAAAGGTTTCTCTCAAAATCTCAAAGACTATAATAAGGCGTGTGCCACAATATCACATTTCAGACAGAATGTGAAAACGATACGTTTCCTGAGGGTGATGGGCAGCTGAGCTGGAAGTCGCCTGGGCCCGGGAGCCACGAGAAGTACTTGGAGCATATCGAAGCTTCGCTTCAAGCGGTAAGGAGTACGCAGCACAGTTTTCTAAGCTTCTTGCTTTTGCTCTTTTTTTTGTGTGTGGGCCTGATAGGGTCCAGACCTCTGGCAATCCATATGAAAAGTTTGGCTTAGTCAACCGTTGGCGCGAATAGTGAGAACGGTGTTGCCTTTCTTGCTGATGGCGACGACTCTGGTACCAGGAAACGATGCCACCGGAATCGCCGCTGTTTTTCGGCATGCACCCGAATGCCGAGATCGACTTTCGGACCAAAATGCATTGGGCTTAGCAAGGCGTTGCAGGGTTTGGATTGGCATCAGAGAATTCTGAGCTCACTGAGCTGAGGTGTGAAACAATTTTTGAGCTTCTCCTCATGATCCAGCCCAAGCGTAGCCCAGGGCAGGAGCGCGGAAGACTTTCGGTAAAGCCAAGAACTCCTAAACCTCAAGATTCGAAGACCTCTCTGCAGGCCACTGGCGACGAGTCGCCCATGGCTGCTGCCAGGGGACTCAGACGCTGCGGAAAGTTAAAAATACGAACGCATAAAAGGGCGCCAATTTTTGAAGCGAAAGGCGGAAGAGATGTGCAATGAGATCTTGGACGAGGCGAAAGCTTGAATAGTACTCAAACACTCGTGAAGCTCGAGAGCATTGCAGCATTGCAGATTTAGGTGCGAGAGGTGCGCTACAACGTCGAGGCAAGGCTTTCTCTAATCTCGAACGTGTTTTCATGGGTCACAAAACTAGCTTCTGCCAAGCCTTGAGGAGATTTCGTCTCAACTGAGCGAGGAGGACCGCAACGACCCCTTGCGCTTTTGAACTTCATGCAATCTTGCTCAGGAGAGGGGGCCATACCAGTTCGTGATGATGCAGGTCCCCATGTCCGATTATGCCTTATCATGTTTTGCTTGCATGTTGCAATGCGGTGAGGAGTGCGACTGTATGAACTGCCTGGTCCAAGAAATGGTCAGCCGCCGAGCCAAGCCCCGCGGAAGCATCTGAAGCTGAAGGCTTGCAGTATTCTCAAGTCAGGTGCGTGGGCTCAACGAGTTGCAGCAGGGCTTCAAGGGCGAGCTCACGATGAGTGAGCACATGGAGCAGCTGGCAGAGGCTGGCAGAGGTGTCATCTGCAGAATGTCCAGCTATGCAAATTTGTGTGTGTGTGTGTGTACCCCTCTGTTTGTGGTTTTCCGATCTTGTTGACTAAAAGGCCGGCAATTGCAGAAGTAGTGAAATGCCAGCCGTGAGTATTTTCACATGCAGGGGGATGCCCCACACCTGAAGAGTGGGCATCTAACAAAGAGGCTCTTCAGAGTGTGCTGATATCAGGAGAGGACGCTCTCTTGACGTACCTGCAACTGCCAGTTGAACAGTCCATGAGTGCAGAGCAGTAGCTGAATGTGCCTTGATTTTCCAACCAGCTTTGACTGGGTATGTGTGTGTGTTTCCTGACAGTAATTCTGCCAAAGCGCTGTCAGACTCTCGGTCAGCGGGAGAAGAATTAGCCTTGAAGACTGAGGTTCCCTAAAAACTAGAAACTACAACATTCTGAGAGCCTCCGCAGCTTCTGAGATTTGAAGCAACCAAGCTATTGAACACCAAAACCCAGAAGTTATACCAGATCTCAAATGCTGAGCTTCCCTGAGATGAAGAACATTTGAAGATTTCCTGAGCATCACTTGATTCTGAATACCCTTGAGCAAAGACAAACAAATGAGCTCATATTAGTAGTTTTGTAGGATGTAGAAAAGTTCAAGCACTTTTATCTTCATTTCTTGTTCGTAGTTTGCCATGGCTCCTGTGTTCAATTTTCACTTCTACGAGAATTCCAAGAGGTATCGTGGAAGCAGTAAGTCTTCCAGATCTCGTAGTAGGAGACGCCGAACACAGCGATCCTCTGATCGTCGAAGAGCCAGAAGTAGTGGAAGAAGAGGCTACAAGACCATCACAGCCGGACCCAGTGCTGTGCAAGATGTAGCCCCACGGTATGTGTATTCTCCGTATCCTCCAGAAGAGTGGTTTTCACCAACACTGGCGTTGCAAGATACAGACCTTCCTCCTGGAGACTTTAGACAAGAGTCAAGTGCTTCCTCAGCGAGTCCGTATCAGCAAGGACCCACAGAGCCTTCGCAGCAACGTGCAGTAGTTGACGATTCAGGACCACCACCGATGCCACCGCCTTAAGACCCACCACCTGGCAGCTTTGCCATCAACACACCGAGAGTCATACCACCTCCACGTGTTATTCCTCCACCACTCCAATGTCCACATCAAGCACCTCACATGTCATTCACAGCACCACCTCCACCTCCACCATTTCCACCTTCACCACCGCCACCACCACAAGCGCCAGCTACCTCACCGTACTCTAAGGCAAGCAGTCAGATTACTGGTTTCCTGCAGCGTGCCAGATCCATGACAGCGGTGCCACCTCCCAATATTTTGGATGCAGCCGTTGCGAATCAGAGCCAATACTGGATGAACAAACTGACCCTGATACAGGTAAAGGCAGCGAAGCGTATCCTGAGCAGCTTCCAGGCGAAGACAATCTCCAGTACAGTATCCGCGTAGCTGATGCGGTTCCAATCAACTACACCTGGGCCCCGCTTGGATCAGTTCCCTACAAGACAGGCCCTTCTGGACTTTTCACGCCTTTCAGGTATGCTGAGCTCAGAACCATGTTGCAGCGTAAGCAACTCACACAGGGTGAGTTTGAGAGAATGTCCCATGTCAGTGACACTGACACTGAGCGAATGCGTCAGTGGCTGTATGAGTTACTGTCAACATATGGGCCCGTTCATGAGCATTGAAGTCCTGTTGTCCATGATTTTACTCGAGCTCTGCATGTTTTGGGATACCAGCCTCAAGTTTCGCGGGGCCAATCTTTTGCAACTGCCAGTGGAAGAGTAGTTTGGACTCTACAGACAAAGAATTTTCCAGGCCCGGCGCTGCAAGGAGCAACTGGAGACGAGCCGTATCAGTTCTTTCACATGACGTCCATTCAAGGCCTCCTTGGTATTCTGAAGATAGGTTCTATACTACCAACTGCCAATGATCGAGTGGGTTTGCCGGATGACTATCCAACTTCCGCGTTTTTTTAGTTTGCTGAAGCACGCGCATGAGCAAATGTCTCTGCGAGACATAGCAACACAGTGTGCGAAGCTCTTTCATCACTCCAGACAACAATCAGGAGTGATGCTCAGCGGATGCATCGTCGGTGGTCATAGCAAGTATAAATGGTCATCTACGTGGATTGAGCTTACGCTAGCGGCAAAAGCTGGCTTAGTGCGCAGTAAGTCCACAGACAAGAGGTGGGCAATTCGAGTTGATCTTGCGCAAATTCAGTGGATTGTTCTGATGTCTTAAACAGACAAAAAGGCTCCACTGAAAAATACCGGATCCCATCTTAGAGTGGAAACAACGTTCGCGTCAGCCTCCTTTGTTGTGTGATGTGTCAAGTCATGTTAAACTTGTGCAGCTGAGCAAAGCCTTTCCTTTTCTTTTCCTTTGTTTAGTGCTCAAAGACCTCAAGGACAAAAAGCATCTAGTGTAGACCTACCGCCAGCATCACATGTCGTGGAACACGTGGAGCAAATCCTCTTCTTGGACCCAGCCTACGCGTAGTTGGTCCTCCGGTGCATCTTGGTCTACTCCCGAGAAACAGCCCCACAAAAGCTCTTGGCAGAACCAGGATAGTGCTTGGGATTATCAATCTCCAACGGGTACGCCTCATGTAGAAGGGCTTCCGCCAGATTTCAAGGCCACCAAGACACATTTGGATTCCCGAGAAGTCTTTGGAAAGAGCCTGTTACGCCGAGCAGCACCAACGGCGTGGTCCACCAAGTACGGGTTGGTAGGCAAGGAGGTTTCCGCTATCCGTTTGGTTGATCTACTATGGCGTGGTTGGCAGAACTGTCACACCAGAGCTCTATCGCACGGGAGAGCGTCTTTGCATCCTCTCTTCTGAGCCAGCTAAGGGACCGTAAGTGGGAACTTGATGAGTTGGCGTCAGAGTATTGCCGACGCAATCCCGATGCAGTTGCCAAGCAACAAAATATAAGTGCGGATGAGTTTAAGGCCGCCAAAGTTTAAGCACTAGCTAAGCACATGCTTGAAAATGTTGGTGATCTTCATGTAGTCCCACTTGACTCTGAAGAAATGCAAACAATGCAATCCCAAGCCCAAGTGATTGCAGATCTTAAGGCTCAGCTGCAACAAGAGCGTGCCAAAAAGCCTTGTCCTGTAGGTCCTTCTAGCAGCATGGAGCCTCTTTCCAAGCGAGTTCGACTGTCAGGAAAAACATCTCTACCAGTGTCGGACGCCTCTGCAAAAGAGCCAGAGCCAGTTGCTGAAGAAGCGTTAAGCCCTTCGCGTCAGATTTCTCAGCTTGTGCTTCGTGATGTTTCCATGGCCGGAGTTGCCAAGACCAATGTGCCAAGTGGCTAAAGACTGTCAAGGCCAAAGTAGGCCCAGAAAAGTCCCAAGCTATTGACCAAGCCATTTTGGTAGCTCAAAAGTCCAACAAGAAGATTGACGAAACTACGTTTCAGCAGCTTCGTGACAAGTGTGCGCAAGCTGGCATGCCCGTACAGTGGGCTGGGAAGATTAAAGAACCTGAGGTTGTCCAAGTGTTGATTGCGGCTACATGTATGGCCGACTGACTAGTTGCCATTGCTGAACCTCAGATGCCATTCGACTGGTCGGTATGCAGAGTGTTGTTGTTGGGAATGCTAGCTTTACTCCATGGAGTGCAACAAGTTACGGAAGTTTTCTTTTTGCGCAAGCCACTACGTGCTCTTTGTGGATTTCTATGGATCCATGCGCTGTATGCTTCTCAATCCATTATTCGCGCAATGAGAACTTGGCGTAGCCGAACCAGTCATTTTGCTGGCGTGAGGTTTGTTCAGTTCGCATTGCTGTTTGAACAGCCGTATGCAACATACGTGGTCATCATACCGCAGCTCAGCAAAAGACACTGGCATTACGAGTCCACGCTTCTGGATCCTAGGAAGTTCTACATTGGATCTACCAGTGTTTCAGTTCATTCGCGGCAAGATGCCCGACTTCGTAAACTACGTCTTCTAGAACAAGGACACTTTACCAATACAGAGATGATGGTCCACTATTTTCATTGCAAGGGAGATTTCTATGAGACCCTCATTTTTCCTTTGCAAGCGTATTCTTCTACATCTATGGCGCGATCAGCCGAGTGTACTCACATTCATGTGTGGAAGCCTATGCTCAACATGCCTTGGGTTGCTAAACTCAACCCAACATCTGCTACAAGACAAGCAGTACCTAAGTTAGTTTCCTCAGTATACTCTGCGCCGGGACGCCGTCTATGGCTACGAGTTCGTAGACGCCTTCGCGCGCTGGGTATACTTCGACTCTACTCTAGCGTGCCAACTCAACCTATAGACTGCTGGAGTGTTCTGGTTACCCTGTCACAGGGCGGCAAGCAAGCTTTTGATATGGAGACGTACCTACGAAGCGCTCAGGTCAGTACTTTACATCTGTATGGTTTGCTTCGTAGTGGCTGGATTGTATGAGGCGTCTGTTTTGTGGGGCCTGAAATCACGAACGCTACGCAACTCAGAGGATGAGCTGTTGGCAAAGTTCTCCGGCCGTATCAGTCGCAACCTACGATGGAGCAAAATGATCCACCCCATTGTCTATCGTATCAGTTCTGAGGCCTCTAGCTCTAGCGGTAGATAAAAGAAGCCGCAGATGTGTGCTGCTATGAGCTAAAAAGATGTCTACGGAAAGCTTGATGCAAGAAGACTTTGCAGCAGTTGCTTTTGCAGGTTTACTTGTGCTCTGATCACATGAAGGAGTTTACATCAAGCGTGATTGCCCAGCTTCCTAGTGTTTTCTAGCGCACTTTGCCATGTCCGCTGCGTTTCGTGGGGCCACGGATGAAGAGTTTGAACAAAAAGCCTCCTGGTTAGCTAGCAACCTGGTCTGGTACCTGTCGCCTAGATCAGCGGTGAGGTTCCTCCGAAGAGTTATCGAAATCATCCAGAGTGACCCTGAGTACTCCATTGACCCTGGAACGTAGCGCACATGAAAGCTGTGACAATGTTTGCGCAAGAGCCAGCGACGCACATCGTCACTGCAGGTGCCTAGCACATCAGCAGCAAGACTTGCGTAATAGACGCCGTGGACATTAGCCTTGACTTCCAGCCTGGAGATCCGCTAGATGGAAAAAGTAAAGAGTACTCCGAGCTCCTGTACTTATAAATATGCTAGCATCACCTCTTCAGCAAGGAAGGGGGTATTGTGTGTGTACCCCTTTGTTTCTAAAAATTTTTATGTGGTTTTCCGATCTTGTTGACTAGAAGGCCGGCAATTGCAGAAGTAGTGAAATGCCAGCCGTGAGTATTTCACACATGCAGGGGGATGCCCCACACCAGAAGAGTGGGCATCTAACAAAGAGGCTCTTCAGAGTGTGCTGATATCAGGAGAGGATGCTCTCTTGACGTACCTGCAACTGCAAGTTGAACAGTCCATGAGTGCAGAGCAGTAGCTGAATGTGCCTTGATTTTCCCAACCAGCTTTGACTGGGTATGTGTGTGTGTGGTTTGCTGTGTGGGAGGCTTTGGCGGAGCAGACGTTGCCGCTTTGGTGGGTCAAGCTGGGCTTCCCTTCGACGCGGCCCCTAAGGTGAGTGGGAAACAACGCCTAAAAGGCCAAACCAGGTGTTGGTTTGTTGGTCCAGTTCCTGAAGGTCCTGGCTGGTGAACCTCAAGGACCGCTGTGCGCAGCTGGACGACTGGTACGCAGAGCCGATCCACATCCCCAAGGCAAGGCCGTCAGAACATCTCAGAAGCACAACACCTGCAACTCGGCTATGCTCTCAAAGGGTTCCTGGCTTTGCTGACAGAGGTGGTGGACGTGTCCAAGCTCTTCAACCCGCAAAGCTTCCTGACCGCCATCAAGCAAGTCTGTGCGGCACACAGATGCAGACGTGCAGAGATGTTCAATGGATGTGACTTCGTGGAGAGGTTGCCAAAATGTGAAGCTCGAATTGGACCGCCTGCACGTGTTCACGGAGGCAAGAGCAAGCAGATCTCTTTGAAGGGAGGAAGTTCTAGTGCGTGTGACTCTGCTGTGTTCTGTGCTGCTTGGATTTTAAGAGCGACTTCTTCTTGTTCTCCTCGGCGTCTCCGAGGTCACCAAGCGCTTGGACCCGAAGACAGTGGACAGCTTAGCCCGTGAGGGGGCCTACGTCACGGGCATGTGCCCCACATGCCGCCTCCGAAGGCCTCTGAAGTTCTCGAGGTCCGTGCTATCTTACTTTCCACTTTAAGGCAATTATAGGAAGCCATGTGTTTACACAACGGCGTAAAGAACAGCTCGAGCTGAAGGTACCTTGAGGGTGCACGCTGGGACGCGAACGCCAACTCTTTGGAGGACAGTTGCCTTTCAGAGTGTTGAGTGTTGAGCACTGTTCCCGGCCTCTCCCGTCTTGCCAAAAGGACTCGCGGCCGAAGGACTGGGGCTTTTCAAAATAAAACACATCCCATGCTGGCACAAATTTTGGCGGCAGCGCGAAGCCTCCTCACATTTTGGTTCGAAATTTGTGCAATTCCGGGGCCATTGTTGGGGGCAAATTGTTATTAGCTGGAGTTTGCAGTACCCTTTTCAATGTCAAGTTGCGGTGGCTAAGGTGTTAACTTTGAGGATGTCGAAGCTAGATTGAGGGTCTGGAGGCGAGAGCAGCTCCCTACTTTCATCCCTTCTCAAGCTGACAAACACTACCTTCTATAGGCTCGTAAACACGAAATCCCTGTGTCAAAGCACTCGCAGCAAAACTCCTTTTGGGCTGGAGCAATGCTCAACAGCTCCGCCAAGCTGCAATGTCTAAATGTCTTGAAAGATTTGAAAGAGTATAGGGGGGATCAGCTTTGGCTTTGATGAAACCAAATGTGTAGGTGCCGTCTCTAGCTGGGATTGATTGCGAGGGCAGCCATAGGGGTCACAGTCAAGCGAAGTGAGGAGATGTTCACCCGGTTGCCTGTCATCAACTGCAAGGCAGCTTGGACAGCTTAGCGTGAATGAGCACTATGACTGTTTGACTGTTGTGATGACGGCTTGTGACCGTAGTCGCTGCTTTGCTGCTGCTTGGCCTTGAGGCCGGCTTGCAGCAAGAGAAGGAGGACAAGAATGTTTACATGTGTCCAACGTATTGCGTACCAACACGCAGGCAGGGAGGCAGGGGATGTATTGGATCGGATCAAGGCAACCTTCACTTGAGCTGAGGCCTCACTTTGTTTTTGTGGCCCAGCTCCGCACAAAGCAACCCGCGGCGAAGTGGGTCCTTGCGGGTGTGGCCATCATCCTTGACATAGGCAAGCAAGCCACAGAGCGGGTGCTTCGCCTGCTTTATCGACTTTGTTTCTGTTCTCCGAGGCAGCTAGCTGGTGACTGCGCAAATTAGCCGTGCACCAAGAATTTAAGCCCATTTGGGCATAGCTGGTTGGCCGGTGCAAAAGACACCCAAATGAAGGCCGGCATCGCACAGCTTGTACAGTGCGAAAGGGCAGTCTCGACTCGACTTGTGTCACTCCGCTCGGGAACGCAGCCACGCTCTACAGCCGCACAGAGAGCCTTACCTCATGCCGGCTGTGATCCAGTGAGCCAAGCTACCTCCCAAAGTCAGGGAGAGCATTCCGACAGAAAAGAGCAGCACGCGGAGCTCCAAAGACCAGAGCAAGGCAGCAAGGCAGAACATAGACATTCGAAGGTCTTTCGAGCAGCATGGAAGGACCCTGACAAGGCGGCTCTGGAAACCGAAGCAGTTCAAGTCCTTCCGCGCCTGCTGAAGGAAGCAGCAGCAGCAGCAGCTCTCCAACATCCCAAACCAGCTTCGATCACGATTTGGGCAAAGGCAAAGGCCATGGTCCACACAGGGCACAATCCGTCTTCAGAGTTCAAGCGCCTTGCTCAGGCGTGTTCGCAGGTCTCCATTGCCTCTGAAGCATACTCGCGTGTGCAAAAAAACAATGTCTCAAGCCACAACAGAAAAGTCAGTTAGTTTGCTGCAATTGTAAATGTCCTTTGATCTGGACTGTCGCAGCGTTTGGCTCAGATGGTTTTGAGGGGCCTTCACATGGGCTACATATAGCCGAAGCAGGCCAAGCAGCCAAAAGCTTTGCTTTGCCGAAGGCCGCCTTTTTTCTACAGTTCTTGCCAGGCTCGGTGAGTGCCTTCCCGTGCTTCTCATGGGAAAGAAGGAGACAAGGGAAGAGTTGAAGGGAAGAGTTGAAGTGAGCTTGAGTTTCTTGGGTTCTTGGGAGGACCGGCGGCGGCGCCGGAGTAGCAGCAGCCCTTTGAAGGAGAAGATCGAGAAGAAGCGCAAGAAAGAAGGCCATTTCAGACCGAGTCTTCTAAAATTTAGGTAGTTCCTCTAGCGTTCTCGTCTACTTTACTCCTCATTTTCCTTGATAGAGTCTGATAGAGTTCCTCTATCTGCACAAGGCAAGGATGTGGCCCCTCCGAACTCGGACTCGGAGGCATCCCACACCAAGAGCGTGGCAAAGCTCATCCCGGCGGCCCAGGTCAAGGCCGTGAAAGACAAGGAGGCCCAGCTGGGCTGACAAAGGGAAAAAACACGTAGCGGCTACGTAGCGAGTTCTGGGAGGGAGAAAAAGTGCTCGCAATGTGGCAATGTGCTCTCGCTAGGCTCAGCAAGAGGTGCCCCTGGTGGTCAGCGGCTGCGCCAACAGGACCATTAGCGAGATCGTGAAGGGCACCTACTTCAGGCATGGCACCAACCATGGCAAGCCTGTCTACAAGAAAAAGCCAGAGGATGTGCCAGATGATGATGATCTTGACGTTCTCATATACTTCTGGGACATTCGAGATGGCCCCGACAATTGCGGCTGGTGGTTCAGCCCCAGTGTTGGCGGTGAAATGGTCTGGGCTTATCATCCAAGTCAGAAGGCTGCAGTTTGGGGAGCATGTGCATGGTTTGACCTGCGTATGTGTCCGTGTGAGAGCGTGTTTGCATGCTTTGCAGTTTTCTAATGTGGGGTCCTGATTAGTGTAGGGCCCCCCCAAACAAATATGGGGACACTTTTAGTGTAGGGGGGGTACCCCCCAAACAATCCATGGTTTTCAGGTCTTAATTAACATTCAATAGGAGGGATCAGGATCAGCTCGGATCGGATCTGAAGTTTAGATTAGATTCAATAGGATGGAACAGGATCGGCTCGGATCTTGGGTTTACAGTAAATTCAATAGGACGGATCAGGACAGCTCGGGTCCTATGTTTAAACTAATTCAATAGGATGGATCAGGATCGGCTCAGATCGTAGGTTTAAACTAAATTCAAAAGAATGGATCAGGATCGGCTCAGATCCTAGGTTTAGATAAAATTGAATTGAGTAGGAAGGATCATGATTGGGGAAGCTTGGCTTTTAAATGCTGAGCCTCTAAAAAGTAAAAGGTTTTTGCTTTCTGGCATTTTTCGGGTCCCCCGATTTGACGGATAATTGAGGCCCCCCAAAACATTCGTATTATTGAGGCCCTGGGCAGCTGCTGGTCTACCCCTTAGGAAAAATGATTGCTAGGCCTCCTCGAATAAGCGGTCTCATAAGAAATTGATAGTTTTGGACCTGGCTTGGAACCTTACAATCCGGAGTTATGAGGTTTGGAAGTCCTGAAACTTGAGCTTCTGGAAGCTCTGGACGACGGATTGTAGTCTAAGTAACAAAATGCAGCTTGGATTAGGACCTTAAACTAACAGAAAGGACTGTTGTGGCGT